CTGCCCCAGCTCCTCACGGGGCCCCCGCCTCCGTGCCACCCCCTTGCCCACGCTGGTCCTTCCTCCTCCTGCCCGGTAGCACCGCAGCGGCCTCACCCAGCACCCTCCCCGCCGCAGAGCCCCGCCGCCCACCTGCCCCGACCCCACGGGCAGGCTTGTGAGGGGAACCAGCCCTTGGACTGGCGCAGCCAGCCTGAGTGGGCTGCAGTGCCGCCAGGACAGCCGTGCGTGCGCTGGTGCCACCCGGTGCCACACGTCCCCTGCATCACCTTAGGACCTCTACTTTTAGGCCGATGGTGCAGATAGAGAGCGTTTGTAACCCAAGCCAAGGCTGAGGCAGGGGACGCAGCAGGCTACGCCTGACACGACCGCAGACTCGTCCGTTAGGCACCCTGCACCACAGCTATACCGTGGAAACCAGACCGATAACACTGCAGGGCTGCCGCCTCCGCGGCCCACTGGGGTTTTAGTGAAGAAAAGAATTCAAAGCACAAAAAGCCACCCCAGTCCAGCCTTCTTGCCCTGCAGCTTCTAAAGTTCAGTTCTTGGAGCCAGAATGCTCTCTCCCATCTACTAAACAAGAACAGTCCCTGATCATCGTGTAAAAACCCAAGAACAGAGTGAGCTCTCTGTCATGCCAGAAATGTAGGGCTAGCACTGTAAGGAATGGCACCCCACTAGCTAAGCGTTTCTTGCACAGAAAACACAACCCCTGAAATGAAGAACACAAGCTGTCGCTATTGCGTTAGAAGTTATGTGCAACGCAGTTGTTTTTAGAGGTTGTTTTACCCATTTGAGGTCTTGCAGCTAGACAGCATGATGAGAACGCCACAGACTATACCAAGACAAGCAAACTTGGAGCAATTTTCTGGTGTAGTTATCTACCACAGCAAGGGGACTGGAAACTGCATTGGTGCAGTTGAGGCTTGCAGATTGTACTGCATAACAGAAAAGCTGTATGGGCAGTTTGGTGAATAGAAGCCAGTCAGCGCTTTTTATAGTATTGGTTTAAACCCTTTTTATTTTGGAAACATGAAGTCAAACAATGCACCTCAAGAGTTATAAACTCAGCAACTTCACAACAGAATGCTATTGCAAAGCTGACTCTTGTTTCAGACGAAGCAGAGATGCAGACAAGCTGGAGTATTACAGCAATCCAGACATTTGAGAGCTCCTTTTGGAGGAGCAGGTCTGAAGATACCCACTGCTTCCTCAGAGGGAGGATAAGTTCTGGTCTTCCCCTCTGACCTAAATGCTTATTTGTGCTCTTTTCCAAAAATCAGTGCTCTACATGAAGTTGGACGGTTAGCACAAGTGCTGCAGCATCATCTCCCCCAGTTAAGTTTACAAAGTCACCTCAGCCTAGGTGGTCAGTGGTCAGGTTGCCCACTGCCATCATGACAGCTAAAAAACAGCTGACTGACTTTTCTGAATGTAAAGGGAGCACCAGGCGATCTACTTAACCACTTCAAGCTCTTCACCTTGGTAAGCACAGGAATCCTAGGCATCAAATACAACTTTTTTAGATTACGCTTGGACAACATGTTTTGCCAACAGTCTGTCATTGCCCTTGTCATCTGGTAAACGGAGACAACAGTCAACACCACAAATACGAAGTGGCAGAGGTCACTGAAGACTAGCAGGGAAACTAACCCACATGGCAGTTATTGCCACTGGGGGGGAGGAGAAAAACAAAACCAAACCATGTGTGTCACCACAGAAACAGCTTTAATTATGGAGCAGCTAGCAGGGGACAAGAGATGCACATAAACTACGTTTTCTGCTCCCTAGCACACCCCTCCTGGAAGTCAGAGATGCTGGAAAGAAAACTTAAGGTTTTCCTTGAAGGAAAAACAAGCCGCAAGATCAACTGACTAAAGGATAGAAGAGTCTAGTCTGTCATTTCCTTGGCCTAGTTCAGGGGAATTAGATCAGCCTTTAGTAGACAGAATTTGCTCAGAATCCTCCTCAGAAACATACCTCTCAGGTAAAACTTTAAAATGCAATTATAGATGAGCAATACTGATGAAATTTAAGGAAGCCTATACTTACCCTCCCACCCCGCCCCCAATCTCACTCCAGAAAAGCCTGGAGATTTGCATTGAAGCCACCCCCACACAAGTAAGAGTCTCTCATTTTCAGAACTGTTTATAGCCCTTTTGCAACACCCAACCTTTGGGCTTAGTCATGCTCTCCTTCCCTTAACAGGAGAATAGGTTGAGTCACCACAGGAGGTATTCACTGCCAACTGATTCTCATAATTCTGAGAAAAGGAAAAAAAAAACCCCAACACTTCAATGTGTTCTCCCTAGCAAGAGGAAACATCGTGGAACAAAGATAAAACCATGTTTGACAGTCAATTTTCTGACCATAATTAAGGTGTTTTGCCTCTTGGTGTGCATTTTCTTACTTGTGGCTTGGATAGATCACTCAGATTGGGGAGAGACTGGGAGAACCAAGCACCCATACACAATTCCTGGAGCTGCCTTTCCTTCCAGTAGATTTAAGATTTCACAACTGCATGTGGTCTTCCCCCAGCTGCAAGTACTGCAAGCTTTTTTCACCCTGCAGCAATCCTACCTTTCCTAAACGGGCTTGTTATTTAATCTTCATCACAAGCACGATGGTCCTTTGAATGTAGCAACTGTTTACAATTCTGTATTTTGCATTCGGTATATATTCTGGGATGGAAGCGGAGCTAGCATAGCTTGTTATGTAAACTCAACAGTTTGTAGAATGACCACCGTGGAAAAGCAGATCTTTAGGGAGCTACTTTAAATGTCCACAGAAGTCAATGTCTGAAAAAAGTCAGTATGGAGTTAATTTCAGGATCAAAGTAGAACAGTTTGGGAAAGTCCACTGAGGAGAGACAGACAAGAGAGACCCTAAAGAAACACGGAAACACCTCAGGCACAATGTGTGACGGTAACAACCATCCCTTTCACATCAACAACTCTTGGATAAAGAAAGTTCAGACCTACAAGAAAGAACACCTCAAATGCTACCTAGTTTCAGACAGAAGTCATCTGAAGAGCTGCTGATCTCTATGTCCATGTCTTACCTTTCGCTGTGCCAGCCACTTAGCTTAAGGGCAGTTCCATGTGATGGTTGAGCTCAATCAAAAGTTTACTGCTGCCAGTTGGGTACAGCCTTGCACTCTTCCCCCAATTCTCCCTCTCATTCTCACTGCACAGACGTTCCACAGCTTCCAATGGCTCTGGAGCTTATATAGTTGCTCAGCAAGCCAAATTCAGCTCCTCCCAACCTTTTCACCTCAAAAAGCAACCTGCTGAAACCCTGAAGAAAGTATCAGAAAGTGGTTAATTCAGGTCAAGCTGTATCTAGAGCCTAACCTAATTAAGTTCACCCCAGGACTCAAGGGTTGCTTTTGTAGAACCAGATGTAACACACATTGTTTCTAAATCTTTCAGTCTTTTAAATTCCAAGGCTACTACCAGGCTCTGTGTTACTACAGAAAACTTGAAGCCCTAGGACAGGTTTTTGGTCCAGAGTCAGGATAGTCCTGAGCTATTCAAATAGTGTGTTCAGTTTTGGGCCCCTCACTACAAGAAAGACGTTGCGTTGTTGGAGCATGTCCAGAAGAGAACCACAAAGCTGGTGAGGGGTCTGGAGCACAAGGCTTATGAGGAGCAGCTGAGGGAAGTGGGGGGGATTTAGTCTGGAGAAGAGGAGGCTGAGGGGAGACCTGATCGCCCTCTGCAGCTGCCTGACAGGAGGCTGTAGCGAGGTGGGGGTCGGCCTCTTCTCCCTGGTTATGGGTGATAGGACATGGGGAAATGGTCTGAAGTTGCGCCAGGGCAGGTTTAGGTTGGACATTAGGAAAAATTTTTTTCAATGAAAGGGCTGTCAAGCACTGGAAGGGGCTGCCCAGGGAAGGGGTCGAGTCCCCACCCCTGGGGGGATTTAAAAGCCAGGCAGACGAGGTGCTTAGGGACAGGGTTTAGTGGTGGGATGGCAGGGGCTTAAAGGGCTTTTCCAACCCAAACAATTAAATGATTCTATACTCCAGATCAGTTTTTTGATAGTGGAGTGGGCTGTCCAGGTTAGAAGACACATTGCAGAGATGCTCCATCCTGCTAGAATACTTCAGATGTTGCATGGACCTAAGCTGCAACACCACTTCTACAGCACTAAAGGAAATGTGCCCAATCACAG